GATCAGTCGAATCGTTGATTGATCGAGTAATTCGATCACATTGGCAATGCTATACCTTGCTGTTGTCTGCTTCATCGTCGTAGTCGTCATCATCTTGTGTTGCAGTGAAATGAAGCGCCCAAAGACCGAAATACATTGCCGTATTCGGGCGAAGAAGATATGCTGACAATCGTGTTCACTTGCACCACTGTCTGTCATTTTATTTGAGCGTTGAAATAGAAGAAGTTGAACGAAACAAAAAAAACGATCGTCGAACAATTAGACAAAATAACGCCACAAAAGAGAAAGATGTGGTAAGATAGAAAAACAACAGCAACAACAGGCCAATTCACACCGCACGGCAAGATGCGGTGAGAAAGTGGGAAATGAAGAACATCACAATAAGATGAGACATTTGATTAAATCAAATGGCCGCATCATTTTCTATACAACAATAAGTATCCAAGGTGTTTTTTGTTTGCCGCCGTTTCTTCTTCTTCTTCATCGTTTTCTTGAGACAAAAAAAAAAATTGTAAATTTTCTTTGATTTGAATTTTTGTTTTTCATGTATATTCAATTTTCACGGATATCGTCAATCATCATATTGCTTTTATCGTTATGTTCTCCTCATATGCGTCCATTGTAATTATAATTATACATGTAGTATTACCGTTGTTGAATCAGTATAATACATCGCATTCGTTCCGATCTCTTCGTTGCCACTTTGACCAATGCTGCAATTTTTTTTTCTTTGCTGTTTTTTGACCGCATCGAATGTGATTGTGCGATTCTCTCAAAAATATTTTATGAAAACTGTTTCAATACAATCCAATATAGATTCCAACAGAAAAGTGGCAATTAGCTATGAACGTCATAAGCAAAGTTTCAATTTTATCCAAACGACCAATTCAGCGCATTGCAAAATTGAGGAGAAGGAACAATTCGAAGCGAATGCGGTAAATTTGTGACTTTTATGGTTTTCCATATTCCATGCTATTGCAATCGAATTCAAATCACAAAGCATCGTTTGATTGCGTTCGATCAGTGTGCATTATTTTCGGCGAAAAAAAAATGCGAAAAGGATTTTCCCGTGCTGAATGCAACTAATGCAAATGCACAGTTGAAACTCATCCGTTCCGTGCCATCATCGTCTAAAGGGAAATGAAGCGATTTACGCAAATTTTACCGACTTCAATTTATGTGCTGCATTTTTCCTTGCGTTTATGTGCATCACATTCGATTGGGGGCCATGAGAATTGAGTGCGATCATCATGCTAAAATCGAACGGTTTTTTATTGTATATATGTGTGTGCGTTTCGTTGTCAATAGCCGATATAACGGTTTAAAATGACGCCTCACTCATGAAAGGAAATGAAGTGATTACAGAAATAAATAAAAAAAAGTTGCAAAAAAAAAAACGAAAAGAGTTAGAAAAGTCGGTGTCCAATAGTAGTAGGGCCGATGCACATCGGGTTCGTGTTATTTAATGCAGTGCTTGTCGAATGCGTTTATCTGTAGCAAATCATTTGATTTAATGTTATGGTTTCCGTTTTGTGAGTTTGCATTTTGCATTCCAAATTCACCAAAATGACGAATAAAAAAAAGCATAACATAACCAGTCTTCTTCCCTTTCTCCATGGCGTTCGTTTTCTTTTCGGAACGTATCAAAAGATAAATGTCCATTTAAATAAGCGATCCCATTGTAGCATCCAAACGAACACCAAAACAAAGGCCATAGATTGTTTGTTTTGAAAATTCAATTTATTGATATGGTACAAAGCATATGAATGGGATTAACAAGAGAAATAACAACAGCAGTAGCAGTTATTGCAACAGCATGAATAACAGAAGAATAAAAAAAAAACAAACTTACAAAACACAATGCAAATCACATGTAAGAGACTTCTCTCTCGCAGCCATTTGTGTTTCTCTTTCTCAAATTTCAACAAATTGAATGTAAAAAGTATGTACAACGACGATGACGAGGAATACAGAGATAAATTGACAGAAGAGAATTTATTAGGATCATCATTAATTCCGATAGTGGCCACAATTTCTCCAGCAATTGGCCAAACCATACGATAAACCAACTATTGTCATTTTTCTTCTGCTTAAAACATACACAAGAGGAAGTTAAAAATGATTTCAACTGAATGGACCGACGAAATTGATAATCAACGAGTAAAAAGTTATTGCTGTCTAAAGAAAAAAAAACCAATTCAATTAATTAACAAGAGGATACATAAACAACTGGCATAAAATGAAATTTTTATTGACTGATATTGTGTTTAAAGCAAAATCATGTTCTTTCGATAAAAAGAATGTGCATCAATTGACAAGGAAATCGTACACAGATCAAATTGCAACAATGTTTTATCTACAATTGGCAACCATTTTTTTAATGCTAAATATGATCGCTTGCTAATTTTACGACGTGTGCAAATAATTAAGTTTGAATTGACTTTAAATTTGGCTACTTTGAAGCAAAGCTCTTTTTCTTTCTCCCTCTATGTCTTTTTCTTTCGCTTTACATTTCTATCTATTTCATAATAATTGTGAAATCGCTCATCACTTGGTCCACTCGCTGCGGTCTTGGTGTGCGTACGATGCGCGAACCATAGTAGAACAGTCAGATACCGAAATGCGGTAAATAGAAAGAAAACCATTAAACAAAATTTGCACATTTGTTACAAACATTTTACGCTAAGAAGAAGAAGAAAAGTAAAAGTTTTTTTTTCTCTGTGTATTGTCAGCATAGTTTTGGTTTAGTTTTTGTTGATTTTGTTTTGCTCTTATTTCTTCAATTGCTACAATGTTTTACACTCTTTTTGCCTTAGTTTTGGCATCAATTAGAAGATCGTTCATTCATTACGGGTCAGTGGCCATCCATTGATACCAATGAGTTTTCAATTTTCCAGCGCATACGCTATAGAAATGTGTAGGCTATAGCTTTTGGGATTTTCTTTTCATTTTTTTTTCTTCGATGGCTTTTTTCAGCTCTTTTCCAGCGAATGGAAGTTCAGTTGCATTTCTAGCGATGCAATTGATTGCTTTTAACATGAGAATGGGGTGAGGTTTTGTTATTGCTCGCATTTGCGTTCACAAATCAAATTCTCGGTGGTCTTTGATTATTATGTAAGAGCCTTTGGCATCGTTAAATTGTTTTTTACAGTGGCCAAACGATTTCATTTTCGGCTCATTTCAAATGGGTGAAAATGGGTCTCGTAAAACTTTATTTTTCTGGTGCCTTTTGCACAGAAAATTTTGCCATAAGTTCAATCATGCTATAATTAACATTACAGAACGAACAAAAATTTCAAGATCATAGGTAATTTAAATGTTCATGCCACTCGGTGTTTTTTTTTTTTGAAACACGTTATAATCATTATCGTATAGTTGTACATGGAGTATATACCATATAGTGAAATATGAACAAAGATTCGCGCAGTTCATACGACTATAATTAAAGTCAGTTATGATCCAAAAGCTCGGACGCGACATAGAAAACGAACGGTATTTTCGTGTCTTTGTTATTATATTGTTGTAGCAAATGTTGCTGCCACCGTTGTCGATATACAACAATATATTTATATATGTATCATGATTTCCGCTGTTTCATTGAGACAGACACATAGGGAAAAGTTTTTTTCTTCTTCTTCTTCTACTTCTTCCTCTACATCATTTTGCCTCATCATTGTTATATTCTTGCACCTTTACATCCAACACAGACTATATCAAATTCTATAACGATATAGAACAATTTGTAAGCACAAGCACACACCTATTCAATTGGGATTCGTGTCATATTTTAGCGAAAAATCTCCATTGAATCGAATGGGTATTATATTGTGTATCAGCACAGTATATTCAATTTCGAATTGAAGTTTATCAAATCGATGCTAGAAATCTAAATCCAATTCATTTTTAACAAGAACGAAGTACATGGCCACAAAATGTGCGCGCACGACAACAACAGCAACGACGACGACGAATAAATCGAATAATGACTGAGTTTAAGTAGCCACAAACAATTTGATTGCGTAAAATTTACGCCTTTTTATTTATTTCCAACTATTGTAGTCTTACACGTATGTGTCTCTTATTTTTCGGTGTGGTTTTTCATTTCGCGTCTTGATTTTCTCGACGTGCTGTTTTAATTGCTTGGCCGAGAGCGGGAGAGGAATAGTGGCGGGCAAAGGTGTTCGAATAAAGTACGCAACAACATCATTTGTTTGATATTGGTCAAGCGTAGCTTATTGAATTTTTCCGTCTAACATATATCGCAAAGACGATAAAAAAAAAACAACAACCAACGACAACACGCACACAATATTGAAACATGGCTCAAATAGAGGCCGTTTTGGCTACTTGACGAATTAACAAAGCGGTCATTTATTTGATATTGGCTCACGTACACTGTTGCGTATGCTAAAAAAATTCATTCATTTAATTTTTGGTTACCAACTTTTGATTACAAGTTTTAAGACTTGGAATTTTTGTGTAATTTTTTTTTCGTTTTATTTCATCATAAAGAAAAACTAATCGGTTTTTTTTATTTTGAATATTTTTTTTTTTTTGGCCAAAAGCGACCGTTAACCTGATTTATTGCTTGCACTCTTCCAAATCCAAATTCTACTGTGTAAATTGGTAATTTATGTCAAAGAATGTTTAATTATTTAAAAAAATGTAAAGAAGAATCCTAATAAAATAGATATAATACCATTTTATCTCATTTAAAATGCATATCGCGGCCTCAAATTGTGACTGCGGTATCTGCGAAAAATGCATTGGCTTGTTTTTTTTTCAACTGAGACAAAATCAATAAATTTCAATACTATCAATGCCGAATGAATGAAGAGAAAAAATCACTTGATTTTATCGAAATTATTCACACGACTTTCCACACTCATCATTTCAATACATTCAATTAAACAATTATCTGCTATGAATTATATTATTCGCTTGAATTATTTGGCATAAATGGCCAAAATAATTCGACGATGATACACACTCATACTTACCTTTTTGTTTGCTTTTATTTATTTTACTAGCCAATTAATCCATTTAATCCGGTTTATTATTGAAGTTGTATGCACCGCAATGATTATTTCAACTGTATTAATACGGTTGTTTATCAATTTTAAATTTGGTTCTTATTGGATTTGTTCAATATTGAGTTCCGCACTGCAGATAGTCTTGATAGTTGAAAATAACAAGGAAAAACAATCACAATTTTTTTTCGAATCGAATTTTTTTTTTCCTTACACTCAGAATAATCGCGAAAGTTGCTCGAGATGATGATCAAAAGAAATTTTGAGCTGATGTGTCTAAGCAATCGATAAAATGTGATTTAAATTATTGTTTAAAAGTTTATTCTTTCCTCGATTTATTTTTACTGTTTTCAATCGTATATTGATTACGATGCACAATTCACATGAACAACCGGAAAATGCATTTGGGAATTGAATGATTGCAACAAAAATGCACAGATACGCTTCGATCTTTTGTTAGTGTTCTCCAATGATTTGGCATTTGATGTGTTATCATCACACTGACAAGCACAGATATGGGGAATAAAATGTGTGTTTTTTCTTTGCTCGAAACAAACCAATTCAAAAGTGTCCAAACTTAAGGTAAAAATAAGCAATAACTTATTTAACTCAAGTTTAATTGCACGCTACGTTTACTGGTCGGCGCAAATCGTTAAAACACAATGCACATTTGAAACGAATTGAGAAAAAAAAATAGATAAATAAATCAAAACCACGCACACCAAATGATAAAATGAATTCCTTTTGGTTCGTTTTCTTCGTTTTGGAATCACAAATACACGCACGTCATGCAGACGAAGGATTCGATTTAAAAGAATCTCTCACATAATTTAAGTGTGCAACACACCATATAAACATATGAAATAAAACGGTTTGATAAAAAGAAAGAGAGTATATATACACAGATGATGGGACGTTGAATACAGAGAGAAAATTGTTGTGTACAACCTCACTGTACGACGAACTAAACAAAACTGAAAATGAAACCGAGAGTTCATCATACAGAAATCTTATTCTATGTTTGTTGCTGTTGGTGCTGCTGCTGCTACCACCTTCGTTTCGTTGTAGTTGCCGCATCACAGCGAGCGAGCGGAACCGTGCTTCTCTATTATACAGACACTTTGCTGCCTCGGCTGCTTTGCAACGGACGCATAATATACGCAGAATGACTGAATGTGTGATTTTTGTGTTGTTTAGCGGTCGGTATATGTTGCCGTTTTTCAGCATACGCTGAATGCTGCATTATGTACATGTATTTGTTTTGATATTATTTTTATACGTACTTCTATTCTATTCTCATGCGAAAATATGCATTTCATTTCGATTGGTCCAAGTTGAGTTGCCAATTTCTGCGACCACCACATACACACACACACACACTCCTTTGGATGCTTTGCAACCATCACATTGTAATTAAATGAATGCGGCATTTTTCGAAGCGGCATAATAATGCTACTGCGAAAATCATGTGTAATCGATGTGCATGTGTATGCAAGTATTATTTCTTTGTGTGCAAATCAATATAAGACCTGCCATTATTTTGGACAATTCAATCCCCCAACTGAAATGCGTAAAATTTTATCAAGCCGATTATCAAAATGTTAAGAAAATCTGAAGAGAAAAGGGGGAAAGAAAGTTCATGCACACACTCAAGTCAAAGACACTTGCCCATTTTTTTTTCAGCCATTCCGAAGAGACAGCGGAAGAGAAATGCACAGAGAGAGAAAAAGATCTTGCTCACGTATGATACAGACGTATTCTTGGGCAAAAGAAAAATGTAGCGATTGTCTTCTCAAATTGTTTTAGCAGCCATGCATAACGATGTCTTGGTTAAGGCGATCCAACAATGAGATAATATAAATAGAATAGAGTTTCCCATCTATAATATTTATATATATATTAAAAAAGAATCTACGATATTTTCCTCCTTGTATCCATGTCTCTTATGTCTTTTGCTCACTCACTCTCACATATTGTGTCCCTGCTTTGAGAGCCACACAGACAATGAAAAACAAACGGCATAGAATTAATATCATCATAATACAAACGTTGTTTGCACCGAACAGAAGAAGAAAAACGTGGAAGCAAATAACAAATATATGCGAAAAGGAATTTCACGAGAACCAAAACCTAGAGAAAGAATTGTATCTTAACTGAAAACTGTTGTATTGTTATGTTATGCTATGCTATGATCATCGAATAGCAAGACAAAGACATTTAAACCGCTTATTTTCAATGAATTTTTACCATTATGCGTCAGATAAATGTAATCACATAATTTGCATCGCGAACACATTTCATATGAATCAAGAATTATGAACGCAAAGAATGAAAGGAAAACGATCAAATATTGTCTAATAAATCATTTGATTGCATTTGTGCAAAACAGACGCATCAAGATGCGTTGTATATTTAATCATCATATAAACTTACCGGAACTAATGGGTCATTGTTATGGTTAACAACATTAATTTACGATAGCACATTTGTCCACAGCATTTATGTTTTCCGTAATAATAGTTGGAATATGGTAATTTTTAGCCGAGTTGAACAAGATAACATTCACTTACGATAAAAACACAATTTTTCTATGGTCACACCTCACTAAGAATCTTTGGTTCTTCAATATGCTTACCCTTTTCTTTTAGCTTGTAGATGTGAGCACGTCGAAGATTTTATAGGGCAATAATGGCAAAAATTTTAAGAGAGGCCCGACAAAAGTCAATTTAATTCGCATAAAAAATAGTTGCAGGGGAAGATTTTAGCCAAAAAAGAAAATTGAAAAAATTTGTCTCGTCGAAAGACCGTACCAAATTGACAAATAAATTCAATTTTTAGAGTGGGTATCCACCTATATTGTAGGTCACTGGAAGTATCAATAAAATATGCACCATTTTCCGAATGCGCCTTTCGTCGTTCGAATTGTATGGAAGACTTTATAACGGTAAAAAATACGCACAAAATTGTCGTATTGACCAAAAGTGACTTGAAGTGCTTTCAAGCTTCATACGTACCAGCATTTGAAAGGTTTAACTTGCGCTCGGAATAAAAAGTTTTGAAAGCTTAATCAAGCTCCAGAAACATTTGTTTTTTTTTTTTAGTTCAAAACACATCAAATTCATTTAATTTTATAAAAAAAGTTCTTTACACAAAAATATACATGACTAGTGACGATTAGGGAAACATATTCAACGATAAAATATACATCTAAAAAAAGAAACATAGTTTCACGTATGCGAATTGTCGATTGTTAATCATATTCGACATATTTTCTCTTCTCTTACCGAAAATTAACAATTAATTAAAAAAAAAACATTAGATTTCGAGGTAAACTGTTGGTTAATCCAATCGTTGAAGTTCGGTTGTTGTTGGTTTATAAACACGTTCGCGTGAATATCGCCTTATTCCATCATCGATGAACTTAACACGACTGGGATGATCAGTTTCTGGATCAAAGGCAGCACCAAGTTGTTCGCTACATTGTTCAATTTCTTGCATTTCAAAATCGGCGCCCAAAATGCAACGCAATAACATTACAAAACCTGCTAAAAGCCATAAAAATATTCGAATGTATGCCACACACTTGGCCAATTGAAAATTGGTCGATGCATCAAAAATAGTGGTATCCTTTATGCTGAAACGATTTATTAGAAAATCACATTGGATTTCATGGTTTGCAAAATGTTGCTTGAATTCATCACAAAAATCATTCAAATGACTGTTTAAATATGCTGCATAGATGACACAAAAAATTGCAAAAACGGCAAAACATACAACAGCCGGAACAACGAGACGCCATGCCTTATGAATTGTCCTATTTAAAGAGAGAAAGAGAGAGAGAGAGAAGAGATTTTGTGTTAAGTAATTCAAAGAAAATATTTTATTGTCGAATTGATTATCGAATTGTTCATACTTGAATGCACTTCGTTCATCTTCACGACGACTTATTAAGATCAAAACAATCCAAACGACAGTTACTGTAATTTCAATTACTGGGAAATAGTAGTATAATAAACAAGTGTTGGCATCACCCCATCTTGTGCTTGCTTCGTTTATTTGATCTATCAAATGAGTGAGAATGAGAAAGAAAGAAACATGATTTCATTATTTTTCGGAATGCAATTTTATAATATTTCAATTGCGTTGTACTTACAATTTGAAAAGAAATCGGAATCGTTTGCCGGAATGGTGACCGTCAAGTGTGACAGATTTGCACGTTCAGTTGTGCTACGTACTAGATTTTGACGATTGCTCAATATTTGATAGATTTGGGTTTTTGGTTGGGCATTGTTCTCATCAATTTCACGTAATTCTTTTGACATATAATATGTTTTAAATTCGTGATACATGTCATTCACTTTTTTACCATAAAATTCGGAATCTTCTCTGGTCGCATTTGTTAATGCATCGCCAATCGATGGAATACGTTTAAACATTAATTTTGCACCCGGCACACAATTGTCATGAAAATTTGAAACCAACGCTGAGAATGCATACGATGACAGCAAACAAGTGATCAAAATGGTAACCAACAAAAAGATTATTAACCCTGAAAGAACATTAATTCAAATGATATTATCGAAATTTGGAAACAATATGTAAATTAAATTGATTTGTTTTGAAAACATAAGTTGAGCGCCTGTTTTTGTTTATCACAGATGAATTAATCAATGGTCGAAAGAGATCGCATTGCTTCTGATCTCATTCCAACTATGCTATTAACGGCTCCACCACACAATTTTAAAGGAGTTAATTATGTATTTATACTTGTGTTCTTGTTCTAATGCGCGTGGGTTTTGCACGAAAAGAGTTTACTCCGTAGTCTCGTTGTTTATATTCTTTTCTCGTTTTTTTTGTTCATCGTTCATTGCTTTCAATCAAATTGATCACATATATATCTTACTTCTTTCATCGCTCTCGTCAATCTTTGACCTTCACATTTCACACTGACTTTTCGGAGTGTTCAAGCGGTGCACAATTTAGAAATTGTTTAATTCAATCATAATGTATTTATTGATTTATGGTGGTAGTGTGGTGAAGAGTCGAAAACATTCGACTACTTGTAATCGTTAACGTTTATTATGAATAGTAAATTGGATTTTTGTCCATCGACTGGGATTTGATTTTCGTTTATAAACACAGCAATGTCATTACCGTGCCACGCAATTTGTTTTTGGGGAATGGTTTTAAGGTCGACGTCAGATTCAAAGTTATGTCAGTGTCTCCAACAAAATAATCCATTTAAGGAATTTTACTACGATATTTTTACATGAGCTCATAATGTGTTCATCAGACATTACCAGAAAAGTTAAACGAAAAAAAACACTCAAAATCACAATAAAAAAAACAAATGGATTTAGTAACTTACATTTCCAGCACTTGTGCATCACTTTTGAGTCTTTTTCAATAAGTATGTAATTTCCCATTTTTAAAGAGTTTTTTTCTTTTTTTTTTAACATTCAACTTTGTTCACATTAATATCACAGTTTATGTTTAAATGCGATAAATGATTGTATAGAAAACGCCAATCGCATGTGTTCACTGTGATTTGACAACAACAACAAAAAACTATAACGGTTGCATTAAAATAAAAACGAAAAACACGTTCCAAGAATGTAATTATCAACGATATTTAAGAATCTCAAGAAATAATGTCACAACTTGAATATGTGAAAATATTAGAACTTTGCATAAAATCCAAAAAACGAATCTCACACATAATCCAATTAAAATGTTGCAGCAGACAAAAAACAACTGTGAAAAGTGTAAAAATATTTCAACGAAATAACTGCGAGCGCCATTCGTTCCACTTCTAAAAGCGATCAAATACTAACTTTCCGGACATTTAACAGTGAAACAACCCAGTCTACATCAAAGAATCAACTGAACATATTTGTTTACATACTATTTTTTTTTGTTTTGTAGTATATATATTTCAATATATCCAAAAAAAAATCTCAATATCGCGTCGAGTCGCTTGCGAACACATCACAAATCCATCTACGAGTGTGTGACGCCATCAAACACAAAATAAATTTATTATTGTAATTCATTCACGATATGGCTTTTGTGAGCACTGTGTATATGCTAGCCGAGCGACGAACAGCAGCGTCGTTGTGTTCGTCGTCGTCCACGAGGCATTGGAAATGCTTATAGTCAGTGGGAACCATATGAAATAACAATTCGAGAGCGAATAAAAAAGAATGCGCGCACGCGAGCCCACAATATCATAGAAAAGAGCAGTAACAATGGTCGCAGCACGCATGCATTCACTGAGTTTAGAGTTGAATTTGTTTGACTTCTACTGTTCGCACACTCGACTGAACGATGTAATTCTTGTTTTTCTTTCTGTTTTGTTTTAATCACAGCTATAAACTTCTTTACGAGTATTATACCTCGTATTAATATATATGGGTTTTTTTATTTCATGCACTTTTTTTTCATCATCTGTATAAAACACATCGATTGAATCATTTGACCAATTTACTTGGAAATGAGGCATTGAATCAAATCGATTGTGGCCGGAAACATTGTTGCTACGTTTCATTGAAATTCACATATTGTTTACTATACAAAATAAAACAGGTGATAAAGTCATATCGAATGAAAACAATGCCTTTTTGTGCTCTTTACATCGGTGGAAATGAAGTGAAAACTATTTGCTGCACACTTGATCACACCATTCTCTTGAGATCGAATCCCAGGACATGTAATAAAATCATTGTCATATGGTCGCATTTTGTTCAATAATCAATTTTAATTATCTTTAACGCCACCACACACACACACACATACACCAAAAAATATATATCGTGAAGCCAGGGTTATTTTCTATATTTGATGCTGACTACATTAAATGTGTTTTTTACGTTGTTTTAGCGAAACCTCGAATGTGCTGCTGTTGAGCTGGACATAAATTTATATATTCCAAATGACATCATCGCTGGTTTAGACAAAATGTAAATGAAACAATCATAAATTCATTTGATTCGGTTGTCGTTGGTATGATATTCCTTATTATTGTTTTCACTTTGGTGCGGCTGTATTGTTTACATGTATTGAAAGGCTTCACAAAATTAATGAAGATACCGAAAGAGTGAAATGGTAAAGGTGGACAGAAATAAAAAAAAAATGAGAAACAAACAAAAGCAACATTTTATGCTTATTCGATCATTGGTATCTGCGCAAATAACTCAATCCAAGAAAGTGAACCGAATATTTGAATACAGAAAAGAAAACAAATAAACCGTAATAGATTCATATTTGTTCGAAGCATGTAGGTGAGCATTTATTACCGGTATTGATAAATTAATGGTGCTTGAAAACAGGACAAGACCATTAAAAACGAACACTCCTTTCAAACGCCGAACAACACATCATACTGATTCGTTAAAATGGTTACGACTAATTAGAGGTGAAAAATTCTGAAAATTATCTCTATAAAGTATATAATAATATGCACGAAGCAAATCTTTTACAATTATTATGATAATTTTTTTCGATGATTTGAAATGCTTTTGTTCATTGTTTTTAAGTATTGTGTAGATTCATAGTATTTGTTTTCTCGCAATAATACACGAAACTTCACAGTTGAATGCGAAACAAACAATTCAAAGTGAGTGCCGGCCTTACAAAAGATAAATTGCGTTGCTTTTTTTTTAATTCTTCAAAGAACAAAAGTGTTGTGTCAGAGAAATTTCAAATTCTGGTGGAAGAAAAATTAAACTTTGCAAATGTGTAATTGTCTGGTTGACTGATTTTTTGTACGTCGTTGGAACATTTTTCGATGATAACACTGGTTTTGGTTTCGTTGAAAGGACTGAATTAAAAATGTTGTGTGATAGTCATTAGATTTTGGCTGTTATCGGGTCATATTGGTTGCCATGAAACTAAAACGCACTACATAATAACGCACTTTTGACACGCAATTCCCACACACTTTGAACGAAATAGGCGACATCGAAAGAAGTGGATAGTCAAATTGGAAAAATGTCAAGTAATAGAATTGTTGAAATTAATCGTTTTATCAGCATGTTCTTGAAACCCACATTCACCGCTTATATTATTCCGTTTTAAATATATTTTGTCAAAAATCATAAAAGGAAGGAAGTACATTTCTACAAGCATATAAAAAATTGTTTACAAGCACTGAAAAGTATACTATGTGGTTATCTGTGATACGCTTTTTTATCACAATAATGTGTCAAAACACTATTTTTAAAATTTAATTTCAAATATAATTGAAACTTCTAAAAAATATATGTTTAAGAACGCGAATCGAAATATAAGCACATTGCACCTTTCAGTTGATCTTATTTTGACAAATAAGAGGTCAGGTCTTTTTTCGGTCCCATGAGATTCCATTATCAAACTTTATACAGACCTGTATTTGGGTTGATGTATTTTTTATGCGATGAAAAAAATTGAAATAAAATGTATTGTAAATTATAGAAGAATAATTACCTCAGATAATATTTACCTTAATCCAATCAAGATAATACTTTAAAAATAAAAGAAAAAATATTTATTTTGATTTTAAATCCTCTTTATTACGGTTTTTTTCGAATGGAAATATTTAAATTTTTTCGGATAAACAAAAATGAAACAAATTTATCGTGTTCATTTCAAAAATTACTATGCTAATCAATTATTTATTATCAATTAACGGAAATATTGATTTTTTTTCTATATACTCATCTTTGTAGTCGTTTTCTTTGTGCAAAATACAAATGTTACAAAACATAACACGAACATTTTTCATAAAAATATATAGTACAATTTTGTATCTTCTAGTAATATGTGTGATTTCGAAGAAAATAAAATTATTATGATTTTCTTTGAATTATCTACAATTTTCTAAGTATAGTAAAGATCGTTTTTAACAAGGATTCTTGGAGCTTGAGAGAGAATGTCGCCGTTAAAAAAATTTACTTATGGGCAAAAGGATCGAAACAAAATTCATTCATATTTTTTTTTTTTTAATTAGATTGAATTTATGCATATGGTTTTGTAAGATTTAAGGTTAAAAATTTAAAAATACTGTCAAAATATTTAGTAATTTGATTGATATAGAGTCTATTTTAAATCGTAATGGCTATTGGAAATTGTGATGTAAATACTTTTGGTTATCAAAAAAAGAAAGAGATACTATTCTTCAAAATTTTCTCTTCGCACAGAATTAAACACATTTTTCGTTTCTTTTGTTACGACGATTATACAATATATATATAGAACGTTTATCGCAGCGAAACTCTTGCCCAATTGTCATAGCAGTATTTCATTTATATAAAAAAGAAACTTGCCAAATTTCTTCTTTTAAACTAACAATAAATTATACAGTGAAGCTTTAATTCCAACAAAAATCGGAACACATTAACCTAAGAATGAACATAATAAATTATATCAAACAAAAATTAGATACGCTTAAGTTAGAAATACAATAATAATAAATAAAATTGACACAGAGAAAAGAAAACATTATTGCATAATAATAATTAATGATTAATTAAATTTTGAATCTCTCTTCACATGGACGCAAATGTTGGTTGTTTTAAATTATTACACGCTTTCATTTACTCTCTCTCTTTCTCTCTCTCTTTTTATCTTTCTCTAGAGCATCTCCATCTTCTTCACGCTATTCTTTCATCATCTCTCCGAAAATAAAATTTAGCCGTTTATTTCTATAACATAAAAAAGAGGGGAATCATTTTCAGCTATGAAATACTTGAATCTAGTTGCAATTTTCACAAAACAAAAATACAGGACATGCCACAAAATAATACAGATTTCTATAAAAATAAATATCTATGAAAGTGAAAAAAATATATAACCAAAAACGTTGCATAATTTTCATCGTATTTTACATCGTACATGTTTCGTTGGAAACCATACCGTACGTATCATATTTTAGATGGAATATTTCAAGAGTTTTTGTCATATTTTTTACATTTTCTTATGTAGATAGCAATGTCAAGGCTTTCATTTTCTTTGGTCGAGCGGTTTTTTCATGTATAATTTCCATTTTCTTTCTTTTTTGTCGTATCAAACTCCATTTGCCATAGAAAAATGTAGATCCACAGATTGATTTAAGAACCAGATATTTACTCTGCTATTAATTATATTTTGACGGATTTGAACCGTTTTTGTTATCAAATCTACTTAAATTTCCTGGTAAATGTTCCGGCTTGTGTTGGACTTTCCGGCGGCGTATTACCTTGACTATGTTTTTTTGGTGCACTCTTAAATGGATGCAATTGGCGACGATGTGGCCGAGGTGATGGGTGATCAATATTTACAGCGCTTATTATCTGATTTGGAATGTCACGAACTGATAATTTTGCCGTCTCAGTTTGCGGCTGACTCCATTCTAGAAGTAAAATGCAATTTTTATGAGTATAAATTTTCGATGTAATGATAAAAGCCAAATATTAAATATATTATTTAAAGTAATACAAACTTTTCGATTGATTACGATAGCTGTTGTCAATCATTGCGGATGCAAGCGAACTATTTGGATTAGATGGTATGTTATGGCTTAACATACACGGGCTATATACACGTGATGTAAAATCTTCAAATGTATTGCTGTCTTTGTGTCGCGTTGCAATCGTATCCAATGAACGTTTTCGTTCCTCATAACTATAAAAGCACAGAAAACAGCCATTAAATATAATTGCATTTCCAATTTTGAAATGGTTTGAGTTAAAGAGAAAAGTTGTTTCTTACAATTGTTGATAGAATGTTAACGATGAACGTTTGGCTCGGCTTGCATTGATTGCTGTTGCTCGTACAAGATTGGCCAAACATGCACCGCCAACAATCGATTCATCTGTGATCGGACCAAACCATGGCACTTCCGGTTTTCGATTAACTGTCACACGAAACAGACCACTTTTTAATGGATAAATTACGATTAAAACATCACAGAATTCCGTTGGTAGTATATCACGGCGATAGTCTCGATAATGTTCACTCCATACAATATGCACTTCATCATTGCCCAAATGTCGTGTTTTATTGAGAATAGCTTCGGAACTATCGTATGGCATTCGAGTTGCCACATGATAAATCACCTGAAACGATAGAAAAATAAAAATCTGCCATTGGTTGTTACATGCAAAGTACAATTACCTCAAAGAATGGTGTTGCATAATACGGTGATGTTTGACCACATCCTGTACGTGGTAATCCACCTAAGAATCCATTATGCGATTCCAATTCAACTTCCCAACCCAATGCTGATACGAACATCTCGTAAGTACTGCTGCCGCATGAATTTCTACATGGAGAACAGGCAAATAATATCGAAATTATAAAGCAACGTCCACCAATAAAGTCGAACATCAAATATATACCTAAAAATGCTGTTTTTATCTTCTTGCCCGCTGGCCACATAAATCACTGCCACTTTGTGTGTTTCACGGCATCGTTGAATGTCCAAATTTCGAAGCTCACGTAATAGTTTATCCGTACGTATCAATAGATGGGTGCGTTTTCTTCGTTCCCAGCCAGCCAAACCAAGTTGGCTGAATAGCAATTTACAATAATGGAATTGTGTATCATTCTTAATTAGACTATTATTGGCTGAACGGGTTCCATCGCTCTTATTTCGATTAAAATGATCTTCGCGCGATAATCGAACCGGAATATTTATATTTTGAGTACTTTGCACCGCCTTGAAATCTTGTTCCAATGACTTTTGATTTAGGATAATTGATATGGTTTGCGCCTCCAAATGTGAACCCAATGGCGTTGGAGCAGCTGCATTTAAAAATGAACATGGCTCTTCCAAACATTCGGGGCTCGTATGACCAATGTATTGTAACAACTGAAATGGAAAATCAACAAAACGATAAGAAAACAATTTTTTTAAAATAAAATTGATGGAGGAAAAAGAACTAGAAGATCTTACATCGTCTAATTGATCTAAATCCGGTGCCAAATCATTTGCAACTGGAAGTTGATTGGGTGGACGATGACGCAAGGTATGTTGACGCGGATTCAATGGTAAACCAACGGTTGATATTAATGGATCAAGCGATGCACCGACCAAAAAATTTCTAGCACCATGATGGCTCATTGCAATTTGTGCTTTGTCCATAAAATATTTACTATCTTGATTGGCGCCAATTTGTAAATTCGGTTTTTCATCGATATTGTCAATATTTGTGATTTGTATTTTTGGTTCACGATATAAAATGCTTGCATCCCAGCATGCTTTACCATTCAAATCACGCAATAGCACGCGCACTTGTCGATCGGCTGTAACCAGACCAGCCGTTATACCGCCGCCGGGTAATTTCAATGCGGATAATTCAATAAAACTGGCGACTAGACATGGATTCAATAAAAACATTTGTAAATTGGCGGCATTAAGTACTTGCGATGTTAAATCAACGGAATCTCTTGCATTGATTGTTGCATCATTCGGTTGTGTCAAACCCATGTCATCGTGCTCATCGACAATTGAGCTCAGTCGCGATGCACCAATTCCCATTGGAAAATGTCCCAAATTTGTGACCAAATGCATGGCAACCGTTTTGGCACACAAACGTATAGCATTGATACAATTCTGTGTTGTTTCAGCCGTTTGAAAATTTGCTTCGCTTGACGATGGAAGTCTTACATCATCCACTAGGATTGTCATATCGAAATCCTCGTCGGGCGTAAATAATTTAATGCGATCAGTTTGAGCTCCAGTTCCAATTTGATGTAATATTCGCAGCACAATCAATACCAAATTGTCCGTTGAATCAGCCGACAGTGTTTGTATTAAAATATTTGTTGGAATTGACATACAAAATTCGCCTAAACACAACAGCAAAGCGGTTAAAACATGTTTATCACTCTCTTTTGGATGCGTTACATTTTGAATTTCCAACGCAATGCAAATTGATTTAATTATAAGATGTGGCAAACGATCGATTTCGGCAATTTGTTTTCCTTTATCGGCGCACAATTTTAATGATTCAGCTGCAACGCGTGCAATTGTCCGATGTTTAAATTGAATAGCTTGTAAAATGACTTGAATTGCTTCTTTGATACGTGGATTTTGTGGTGATAACTGTTTGCCGGGTGACGATCGTTGCCCTTTGTATGTGACATTTTGTTGGAAACTTTTTTGCGATGAATGTATTTGGCCAAGTGTTTGTAAAATCCATTGAGCAAGCGCTGAAATCGCAATGCATCTTGCCTTTGATGTTGGTTCACGTCTTGCACATCGCAATATAACATTTAATACATGCTCTTGAATGTCTGGACAATCGACAAGGGTTACATGCGGTTCTGATGGTTGTAAAAATTGCTTTGTCAATGATGTACGTGGAAAACATAATAGCGAACTTAGCAAACCGGTCACTTCGGCGCGTGGCACACTATTTGTTTCGGTTGAAGTTAATATTACGGTCGATGCATGCACTAAATCAAGCAAAAGTAACGAATGACCTGGCAAAAGTAAGCTTAGAAAACGTGGTCCGCCCAAATATCTTAGTACGGTATATGCCATTGCTCTGTCTTCGCCGGTTAATGCTTGATGCAATGCATGATAAAACAATGGCAATTGATCATTGCCCAAAGGTGGGCCATGTTTAACGATCGAACACAGCATTTGTAAGGCCCACAATTTACCATCACGATATTGATAGTCCAACGATAGTGCACCGTAACACCATGCAGAAAAAATACCAATCGGTGGCACAAGTGTTGGTGGATTTGGTGTACTTTGATTATCACTCGATATGCCTTGATTTTGTCGAATCTTGATCAAACTATCGGTGATATCAACAAGATGTTTAAAAACTTGAGCATGTAATTTTGGATTTAGAATTTTATTGACGTCACCAAGAGCGCCAAGCATTCGTTTCCACATAACAGCCGCTACATCTGGCAGCCAACCGCGTGCTGTGCCACCCATCAAAATAGATCTGCGATCGGCCGATTGTATATTACTATCATCTTGTGTATCAATGCTACTGGAATCGCCGGCCAACATATCAATTTGAATCGTGTCTTTTATACTTCCACCTTCGATGCCATTCGATGCCGTCGGCGATGGTGTTCGTGATCCCCTTGTACTTTCGCTCATCGCATTACACCGAATCGAATCAAGTGACAGGGCTCTTCGCAATGGAGCCGCACCACAGTCACTACTTTGTGACAATTTCGAAACATTTAATGTTTCACTGCTTATGCTTATTGATGACGGAACACTAGATAACAGTTTATTCAGTGAACATTCAACGTTTGTCGGCAATGTTGGTACTTTTGATGGCATTTTCATACGTCGTCTGGCTCTTGATTTTCGCGTTGGTGCCAAGCTACCTTCGCTATAGCTTCGATTTAATGTTGTTGTACCGGATATGGTACGTTGTCGTCCAACTGTTGATCCTTCGTCCAGCTGTTCGGTTTGTTCATCGACAACTTCTGCTTTTATAACATTCGAAAGGCTGGCACTTTCACGATTCTCGGATGGTTGTTGTGTGGCAGCGACACGCCTCCGTTTGCCCTTTTGTTCAGCCAATCTGTCCAACGGAAGATCTTGTAAATTTAAATTGTATACTTGTCGTGCCATAACTCGAGTCAATGTTTGCATCGTTTTATTCCATTCAATAATTAATTCTTCGCGATGTGTCAACGATGATAAAACGTTTAAAAACTTTGACCATAATCCGGGATTCACCGGTACATTTGTATGGGCTCGAATCCATGTTACAATCAATGTTTGAAATACAGGCTGTGCCAAACGTCCGCCAAGATTGTTTCGCTTTGAATTTGGCGGTGCTTGACTTAAAATAACAGCCGTTATTTGTAATAGCACCAACAATAATTGTTCCCATGTTTTTGCATCCATTTTCGTGTTCATCACCATCGTTCGATAAATATTCAATACGCTTTTACATACATCGGTCTGTTCGTCGAGCGGTGTTGTTTCACGTGATTTTGAATGTAATACAACACTTGAATGGGCCGTTTGCACCATAAAAACATTGGCCGTATTTGTGACAAATACTTGCAGCACATTCTGAGATCCGGCACGGATCAAAAAATTTTCCTTTGTAATTGCGCCCAAATACGAATCCGTTCGTAATCGTTGATTTCGAGGTACTGTATCATGATTGCTGCCACCGCTGTTGCCATTATTCTCGTCTGGTTCCAGTAAAAATGGTGGCGGTGTACCGCTCATCCATTCTTTATATGTTGCAATTGCCGTTCGAATCGCACCAATTTGGGCACGCGTATAATAATTTAATAAGAATGCTTGACGATACACTTCGTGCACAAAATTGATATTATCACGTGTTGAATATAAAACATCTTTGATGAGATGCGGTTGCATGTAACCAATATATTTGGCATTTGACATAAAATTTGCTTGATCGGTTAAATCATCTTCGATATTCATAAAAATACGATTGTTACTAATCTTATCACGTGTATACATCGATATCCAATTCACTAAAACTACAACACATGAGCTCATCACTTCTTCGCGTTTGCTTATCGTTCGCATTACGGGCAAATCCAATTTTGGATCGTAAATCGATGTAAAATAATCAAAATTCGGACATATCAACGGCAAATAAACTTCTTTAAATCGTTGTAATAGGAATGCAAACGATCGCATATGCCGTTGCGCTGAATTGTCACGCCAACGTAATCCACCGGTTGCCCGAAGCATTCCATCCAATAACACTTCGAGTCCGTCACGTGGATCAGGTGCAGCCGTACGTTCGTTACTGGCTGGTGGTAACAATGGTGTTGCATCTGGTGATCGTACCGGATGTGCACCAGTATCATGAAACACCGATGCGCCCATTTCACCTTTCATATTCGGATGACTCATTAAATCATTTGTCAAAAATTCCGTTTCGGCCAAACCAATTTGACCCTTTTGCGGTATATTCAGTCCAGGTATCAGTTCGGTAAACATTTGATGTACATGCGGTGGCGCATTTTCGCATAGAGCTTGATACCAGAGCAGAAAAAATCTGAAACACCAAATCAGAAAATATGTGTGAACGTTCATAGTAAAATTTATGTGTGTGTGTGTGTGTTTTTTTTTTTTTTTTTACCTCACTCCTTCTCTTCGCAATTTTGAGCTGTTGCCATGATGTAGCAATTTGGCCATTACACGGCCCAATGAATGGCATTGCCATCTTCTGGCCACCAATTCTGGCAATAAATGCAATATTCTCCCCAGCAACCATAGCGATCCATCTAATTCTTCACGATGCGCTTTATGCACTGTGGATATATAAAAAAAATATCGATTTTTATCTCAATTTTTGTACGCAATGAAACAATATTACCTAGGGGGTAGACACGTGGAATAGGATTAGACTTTTTAGTGTAAAAATTCGAGAAATTAAAGTGGAATAGAGAATTCAGTAGCTGGATTCACATGGATTCACTAATCCTGTGTATGGAATAGCGAAAATGGGTTAATTCAAAGTTTTTGTAATCGATAGTACAGAATTTGATAAAAGCATTGAACTTGTTTTGAGATAGTAATTTGTTCTTTTTTGAAATATTTTTTAGTTCAAAAGTCGATTACAAATTTACAAAACAATAGATACACTTTCTCAAAATTTTATTGATGAAAAAAATAATTTTAATTATCAATAACAAAATGTTATACTCCAGTATCGATAAATAAGTTTTCAACAAAGTGAATAGCGGCGAAATGTGAGATCACATTTGACAATGAAATGACGAATTGGTGGAATAGTAGGATTAGTGTTTTTATATTGGAATCATGGTTTAATCGTTTGTGTCTCCCCCCTAGAATATTACTAATCTAAAAAGTTATACGTGACAAAAAAGGCGTGCCAAGTTTTTTTTACATTCGAACGATATCTAAAATGATACATTCATTATACAATTTCTATATAGACTAAATGGAATTATATGAAGTTTAATTAGTATGCGGTGTAATTAAATATGATACAAGCAAAACATTAACTAAATTAAATTCTCAAGCATAAAACCAGGATGGGTAGTCAAAATTACAGGTTTCAATATGAAGATCGCTGTTAAAATAATTATGTATTACGAAGTCAGTAATCAGAAGAATAATGTAACAAAAGAACTAATGCGATTTTTTTTTTTGCTTTTGGAATAAAACATAAACATCAATGCGATTAGTACTGAAGCGGCCAAAATCATCAAAAAAAATACATGAAAGAATAAGAGCATGCCAACAAAAGCATTTGTATCCTTCACTTACCCAGATGAAATAAATTTTCTGTACACGATTCCCATTTTTTTTTTGGTTCGATACAATGTACAAAGTAACATGGATATAAACAAAATAGAGGAAAAGAGAAAAGAAAGAGAAAAATAAATACGAAGAGAAATTTGTGTTAAGACATTTTAATGGGTTTTAATTAAAGTAATCAAGTGCACCATTGTAATTGCAAATTGATTACGAGCATGTGCATATGTGTTGGGTTTTTTCTCTCTTCTATTTGCTTGATCGTTTATACAATTTGAATAGAATGTGAAAAATGCGCGGATATACAAAACATTTGTATAATCTATATAAAATGTACTAACTCAACTGAAACCCTTTGCCAATATTATATTGAATAATAATAATCAATTTGAATGAAAGCACAAGGTTTTCGATTGTCGATTTTCACTGTTTGAACTGAATGCATTTTGCATATATCATCTGTGAAGATTGTGTGTTAAATGAGTGATTATGATTATATCATTTGTGTGAACTATTTATGCATTCGTTTTGTTTGGCCGTCGGTGCATTTCTCTGTGTGTACAATGTACATCAATCCAATGTTTATGGTTAACATATCTATACAGGTCCCACTTCCACCATTTGAAGACAACAGTATTTGTTATGATTATTGTATGCATGTGTAAAAAAAGGATATCTTACCTCTCTGTCGTAAATTCGTTTCGGCTTGTACAAATGTGTCGTAGAGTATGAAGTAGACATGACTGTAATTCGATTCGAAAATTGATTTCGCCTCATCGATATCAACGTGTTCTGCAAATACAAAAAAAAATTAAATTAAATTTTGCTTGAACAACATAGAACGAAGTAAAGAAAAAGAAAAAAGAAAGGAAAAACAAAAAAAATAACATTAGTCACGGTTGTGTATTTGTAGCTGTCTGATAGTGTGTTGTCGGTAAACCGTGACACTTTTATTGGTATGCTTATTATTTGCTCTTGACTGAAAAGCGAAAAAAAAAACAAAAAATAGGCCAACAGATCTCTCGAACAAGACTCTAGGCTACTTTGCCAATGGCGCCATTCGACAAAATGACACAATGAAAATTGGCAAACAACATGAATCGCATTGAAATGTGGAAAATGAATGAATAATGCAATATACTTTTGTTATATTTTAAAATGCATAAATTAGTTGAACATCAACGCATAAAATCTTATCAGTTGGCTTAAATACAATTTGGCAAATTTTGCAGTAAACAAAATTTTAACGAATGCATGCCGCAAAGAATACATCTATTGAATAGAATGTTACTTTCTTGATATTACGTCGTACAAAGTACTTAACACTGTTCGAATTGGCTTCGATCTCAATTCAGACGGATCATACTAATTAAACCGAAACATCATCAAACAGGCCAGTAAACTGTTTGCCTGATTTCCAATTCGCAATTGAATGGAAATCGTGGAAACAAATAATAAAAGACATGCGCGATCATTGAATGTGTACGCATCGCAACGTTTTACAGTAATTCTGGATGATGAATTGGTATTTCTGAGTTGTTGTTATTGTTTTTTTTGTTATATTTCATTCTGGAACAAAGTGTACAAAACATCGATTCGAAGTAATAAACAAACCAAAGAGCGGAAAAAAGCCACTCTCAGTTATGATGGCAACAAGAGCACCAGCAACGAAGCATAGGCACGTACACATTTTGCAAGAGAAAAAAAAAACGGTAAATAAAATGTTTAAATTTGTAAAAGTCTATGTGTGGTTGAATACCATGGAAAAACAACAACAGAAAATAGACTAAAAGAAAGAAATAGTTGACTATATAGTTGGTATCTCACTCTTTCTTTGTGAATATTGTTCGTACAATGGGCTTTTTCATTTCTTTTGTATAACTCAAGCACACTCTATTAAAAGAAACGACTTTTAAATGGGTAGAGTGTGAGTGAACCGCTGAATGTATTCTCTATCGTGATCATGAAGTACAATCATGTTGTTTCCCATTTATGGCCAAACACACCAATCGCACAATTGATGTTAAAAACAGCAAAAACCTAGAATGATTCACATTGGTATATACAAACATTGCTTGATACATTCATATTCGGATGGCATATGCACAACAATAAAAACAAACTATTCCGAAAACCGACTATGACTCTTTTTTTTTTCATACAGTTAGAGATGACGAAGCGGTCGCGGCAAACGACATCGTATACAAGAAAACAACAAACATTCACAGCCTCACAACTGTACACATATATGCAGGAATTGAGAGGAGAAATGAAAGAGATAGTGTATGTGTGTGTGTGTGTGTGTTTGTGTCACAGACACATACACATGTCATCGCAAAAGCATTCCACACCTGTGGATAAAAATTGACTTGATTCAATCCGGAATCCGTGATTTTCAAACATATTCACGGTAATTGTTTCGCTATCATATATATGCTTATTAATCAAACATTTAAACGAACACAATACCAACTAGAATAAAGATTGAAGCACCATTGCGAATGCTTATTTATTTGAATAATTTTTGTTTGATGTTTCTCTTTTAATTCAAACATTCAAAATAAAAAGGAATGAAATAAATTGCGAACGGCGCACGAATACCGTATAAGTGTTTCCACCCACTGTAAATGATTGCAGGTTTTTTTTCTGAATCGATTGGTATGCAAAATACACGATCGAATTGCTTTTGCTTTTTTTATTGTAAAGAAAAAAAAAATTGCCAAGTCAACCTTAAATGCTGGGCCCATTCTCAATTTTTTTTGGGGTATGATGTATTCATTAACTATCTGCCTGTTGTCTCACATTACGAGAGAGAGAGAGAGAGAGAGAGAGAAATTCATTGAAAATTAAATTTGCCTGAGTCAGTTAGACCCAAATGGCCTTTGTTTTATTTGAAAAATGGAAAAGAGTTCGCATTTGAGTTCTGAGTACAGTTCAAAGTATAGTAGAAAAGTAAACAACAGGTCTGGCTTCATTTGATATGCGATGGCAAAGAAATTAGAAATGTGTAGAAAATACAACAACAACAAAAATTCGAGGAAAAAATAGAGTTTGTGTCATCATCAAGAGCAAATATAGCGTTTCTGTTGACAAAATATTGATAGCAAAACGAAAGAAACATTGTCTTTTCATACTTCTTCTTCAATTTAATTTCATACACTTTACCTAATATGGTTTTGAGGTGTCGCAGTCGAGATGCCGTATCTTTTTTACTGTCTTGAATTTTCGATGTCAACTTTTTAACATCAACATGTGTCTTTTTTATAAACATGATGATGGCGACTCAAAAAAACGACGATGACGACGACAACGTCGACAGCAACAATCTAACGTTATTGGTTGAAATTTATGTTGTGGTTGTCTGATACATCAACACCAATTCTAATTACATAAAATAGCACTAAACGATGATGGTTAACGCGTAGGTATGGAATAATCATCAGTAAAAGAAATAGAGAACATTGAATTTAAAAAAAAAAAACTGACACAAACACTTCACTCTTACACATACACGATATTTATTTCAATGATTTAAAATTGATTTCAAAAATAACAAATATGCCCGATTTGGAAATCAATGTGTACTGTGGCCAAACCAAATGCACATATTAACTATAATAAATTGCATACACTCGATAAATTTCACTATTTACTTTTTTCTTCTTCTTTTCGTGGTTGTTTCTTTGTTTGCGTTCATGCCGTCACCGTAATTTCTAGTAGCAAAATATTTGCCATTTGGTTGGTGTATTGTCAGTGATTTTTTTTTTGTTGTCAATTTTTCTTCTTCATCACCATCATCATTGTCGTTGGGTTTTTTTTTCACGGAACTATTTCGCTCAATTGATAATTAACTGCGGTTCTGTTGAGGAAAAAGTAAATCCGATTTCATACGTATTTTTTTGCTACGGATTTGACAATTCGCCTAATTGTTTTGATTTGTTCGACTCGTGTCAAACAACGATTCAACTATAATAACACTCAATTTTTGCGCTCGTTTTTGTCTCACACATTTCAACAAAGAATGGGAGGAGAAAAACATATGCACATATATATTTTTTTCGTTGGTTATGGTGCTGTTATTCTCGATATTTTACAACATGATGCAAATTGTGGCTGGTTGGCCAATTCCATTTTGTATTGTACATTAGTCGGAATCACGTTTTTTACTCTTTCACTCCGTTTGGGTTTTTGCACATTTCGTCTATTGAATTGATATAATTTCCTTTTATCAACAACGCAAAACCATTAGAATGGAATAGAGACACAATTAAAAATTCACTTAGCACAAAACAAAACTAGGATTGAGCGAATTGTCCGTACACGAAATAAAAAGAAAGGTATGTACATAAATTGTGTGTGTTCAAAGTAAACTGCATATACACAACATTACCGAAACAATAAAAGAGAGGAAAAATATGAAGAAAATATTCGCCTTACACTCTCTTCGTACACATACACAAACACCGACTTTAAAATGATACACTCTTTTTTGTCGTCTTTTAAAAAGGGCTACCTCGAAACTAACAAATCAAATTGTGTATGAAGTAATCGCTTTGATTTGAAGAAATGAAGATGAAAGGTAGATGAACTTGAATCAATTGCAAATATAAGACATTATGTACTACACATTGTACAACACACTACAAGCTAATCGCTAAATTCAACTTGTGTGAATGGTTTTGGATACATATGAGAGAGTGAGAGAGAGAATGCAAAGAGAAAACGAATTGTGGGGACATTTCGATAGAAATTTACTTCACGATGTGATGTTCGTTGTGTGCACATATATTCATGTGTATGTGTTTGTATGTTTTGTCCATTACACGTGATTGTATTCGTATTTTGATCACAGGTTTGTATTTACGTATACCGTATGAATCGCTGACATACATTTGCACTGTTTATAAGCGCAACACTTCGCTGTTTGCGGTTCACCGAAGAAAAAAAAACAATGAAAATGACGGTATAACAAATATGGCTGATACCGATTGAACCGATTCACTTCATTCATTTCCACTGAATTTGTATAGATGGTAGCACAGTGCAGGCGAGCCTAATTCAAAACAAACGATAATACTATTTTATTCAACGGCTGTAAACAGCTCAACACTTAACAATGTGGAACTAGTTCTGCGAATTAAATTTTGCTAATAAAATCATTATTTCCCTTTGACGTAATCAATCAAGTTTTATGTTGATGTTATCGCTTATCAAGATGTGCTATAAATGGACTAAGTCAGAACAAAAATAAACTGATTCGATTGGAAAAACCCAGATAATAATAGTCAACGTCGCATAATGCAATGAGTTATAACGTATCAACGAAAAAAAGAGCCTTGTATGATTAACAACAACAAAAAAATCGCACACACAGAGATAGAGAGACATTCATCCCATTAAATTGGGAATTCACAGACCTATTAAAACTGGTTTGTGTTTGGTTTCATTAATATTAGACAATAGAAAGCTAATTTGACTTATACGGTTCTTTTCGGTTTGAATTTTCACGAAAAAATCGTATTGTACCAAATATAATGTCAAACGAATTTATTGATTGTCATTTCAAGATAATTCCAAACTTTTGAATTTTGACCCCCTACTCAACCTGTACGCAATATGAAATACACACACGTATACAGAGGAAGAAGAAAAGAAGGAAAAAAATCACGACTAGACCAAAGTATGTGCGGACAGCATGTATACGTATGAACAAGATGTTGTCAATGAAAAAAAACACGAATTTCAACACTTGTAATCACATGTATCGGAATGACCATTTCAATCATAGTAATGAATGTGGTCGACAAAAACTGTATATATTGCCTTCATTATTGCCACTGTGAAAGAATACGAACAGAGAATGAACAATGTTTGATGATGTTCCTGTAACAAAAACAAAAACAACAACAACAACAAGTTCGTCTGTATTTATCTCATATGCCACTGCCACTGTGTGACGCTTGCTAGCTGCTATGTTAATTTGATTTCAGTGAAAACGTTTTTTTTGTGTGAATCCGTTTTATGTATTTTTTGTGTGTTATTTCTACATTCTCTCTCGTATTCTCGCCCGATAATATAATATATTTTTCATATTCCAAGATGTTGAAGCGAGCAGTTTAATATTGGCAACGCCACCGACAACAATATTTCTGGTGTGATTTAAATTTTGCTACGTGCATACTCATAAAAGAATACCTTAAAGTTCGATTATACACACAAACCGTGTGAAATACTATTGAGAATTAAAAGTATTAGCAAACAAAATAAAAGTGTGGCCGCGAACATTTTGGTCGTTAAGAATAACCAACAAACACAAATTAGCATTTACAAAATGATATTGAATATTTCAATTGGGCTTTTATTTTATTTGATTTCAATATGTAAAGCAGCTACAAGTAACGCTAATGTTGGTGGGATTAGCTTCCCAGAAGAAGGACACAAAGATCCAACCAAACAAAATGCTGCAGTAAGAATTAATTATCATTATTATCTGTGGCTAATGCCAGTATAGAAAAAACAAACAACATCGTAATGATAAAGTGAATTGAAGCACGAATGCAGCCAGACAATATATTCAGCTGACTGATCATCGCAGATGACACATCTAAAATAACAGAATAGAACTCTACATTTTGTCGTTACACGTTGAAAAGACACATTTTTGCTGTCACAAAATTGAAATGTCTCATTTAGCTAGCTGGCTGATATGATTAGTCAACTCAATATATTGTCTGGAATAAACAATTTTCTTTCGTTGTGGTATGACATTATTCCCCGTACATTATCAGTGAATATTATCATGTTCAGCTTAGTTCAAAGTTGAATAATTTTTTTTTTTCGTTATCACAGAACATTTGAATTAATTACACACGTTTGAATATTTAGAATATTTTCCTCCCTAGAATTTCAATGTATTTTTTATCAATTGTTTTTATTTTCAATTTTTCCATTTGGAACCATAGAATAAACAGCCTGTTACAAACTTTAGATGTAAAGATGGCGAATTTCTCTATCCCGGTAAGTATGATTGTTTCAAATGTTGTAGAGTTTCTTGGCAGACAAAGAATTCCTTGACAATTGAAAGGTTCCCAGAAATGTGTGATTTTATTTTGTTGTTTGTTTTCATCTCTTGACAATGAAACAAATGACCAAAATTGAGCATCATATCAGCAATTTGAAGAAATTTTGGTTACAAACATTTACCAAAATTACTTATACTATTTGTGAATCAATTGATCGATAAATGTGATTTTTTGGACAATTTTTATCCCAGCATACTTCTGCAGACAATAATAAGAAATATAGGAGAGTTCAATGGCCCAAAACTGTAGTACAGTTGCCATTGGTTTTGACGTATCTGAAGAAATTCATTGAATATAATTAACTGTTCAAAAATTTAATACCTTTTACAATAGGTGATCAAGAAGATGATTGGGTGTGCGATTGCAGGCCAGGTAAAATAGTATTATGAATTTAATGGTTTTTATGGAAAAACAATTGTATACAAATTGATTTTTGTATTTTTTTTAACAGGATATATTTACCATCCCTCGACAAATAAATGCTATGCAGCATATACAAAAGGACCCTGTAACGATCAACAATTTTTGGTTTTAGAAAGACCCAATGTGATTCCTGAATGTCAATATAATCAATGCCAAGACAAACATGTACTTTATAAGGGTGCTTGTCATCAACTCAATACAGCCGGCCCATGTCCATCGCAGACGCTTGGAAATGTCTTGGAGATCGATGAAACGTCTTTAAAAATTGGATGTTCTTTAGGTGAAACTGAAGCTGAAGTCAAGGCAGCCAAGGATAGGGAATTTCTTGCATCTCGTATTGATTTTGAGGACTCTACTACTCCTAAAGATGGAGTCTTTCCCTATAAAGCCTGTTTCTACGGCGGAATACGTCCATCGACACATGTCACATGTCCGAAGACAAATGAAACAGACGCATCTTCAATTATAATCAAACCGAATATACCTACAACGATTTATCCAAATGTCTAACATTAATTTGTTTCACTAAGTTTTTTTTTTATACGAATGCATTCAATAAATTGAACAAAATTAAAAGAAACAAAAAGAAATGAATGTTAAACGTTTTCGTCTATTACATTTATTAATGGTCTGCGCTCAGTCGTCTCCTACCCAAGGAATAATTTGTAATGCAAATTTATCCATTACCAAGCACAAATTCACGGTCAAATTTGGACCCGGATTTGTGTGCAGTTATTTTTACGGTTGCGAGCACATTTTTAATACATATAAATGAATATCGTTGGATTTGGTTTGACACATATACACTGCGCCAATCGAAAAATGTTGGAAAGATGTCAGTTGCATTTCGAAAATTTAAAATACTAATTCCACAAATAAAGAAATATAAATGCTATAAATGACGTATTAAAGAGTTCTTCTGCAGAGTTTTGAATTAATATTAAAAAATCTCTTTCCGAACAAATTGTTTATTTTTTTATTTGAGAGTAAATGAACAAATGAATCGTTAGATTTTCAATTTAAAACTTAATGTGTTGGGTTGTGTTCACATTATGTTGTCAAACGAAATATTATTGGAAGTGAAAGAAACAAGTGGATCCATTCCATTAGAATTCGTGGAAACTATGCATATAATCTCCGTTCCATTTGACACGAAAATGACCACCAGAATGGGCCAAAACGTTTCATTTTTCAACGTTAGAATGTACTAAAAACATAACAAATTTGTTTCCTAGTCATCTTCTAGTTCTTCTTTATTTTTTGCATGGTATTTATGGCATTGATTATGAAAATTGGATGTTTTGTATTGTGGTAATGTCTGGAAGATCTTGAAAAGTATGCAGATTTGATCTGGCGTAAGTGAACCGCTTCTGGTGTACATATTTAATTTTTCGCCTGAATTCGGTGCCAAAATCGATGATATTTCTTTTGAATTCATTATTGTTATGCCAATGCCGGGAATCCATTTTCTACAGAAATAATGTGTGAAATGTGGACAAGTTTTGCTTTTAAATATTTTTGTTTTTGTTAAATTTCAAAAATGCATACTCTAGTATCGGTATAATATGCCCATTTCGTTTGAAGAAGCATTGGTGTACAAAATATTTGAACAGTGGTAATTCCTCTGGTTGTAATATTGAAAATAAATTCTTCTTCGGGACCATTCGCATCAAACAAAATGAATGCTCATCATATTTCACCTAAAATGATTGCAAACTGATTGATATCTGAAAACTATTACCGAAGTGAATACAATGATAATGACAGTTACCGAACGAGACAATTGCTTTTTATCCTTGTACCAAGGTAAAAAATTTAAATTACACACCTCAGCCAAAATTTCACATTCAAATAAAATTTGAAACATACAACTCTGGTGTGTGTACAGCATGTAGTTACATTCAGTATCGGCCATAAATTTCTATGAAAAACAAAAAATAAAATCAACATTAACATGAAATTAAATGATTTGTTTTCATTTTTAAATGATAAATATTTACCATAGATTCAATCGTTGGCATCACGGCAAATATTTCGACTCGACCATTTTTACATAATTTTTTTTCAAATACAATATCATATATGAGATAATTTATAAATCTACTCGTTTTTAAAGTGAGAAAGAGTTGAGCAACAATATTTTCGTGCCATTGTTGTTTCACGCTATATTCTGAAATGTAATGAAACAATTCAACATGTTCCTCTTTCAACAACACTTGGGGTTGATATAATTTCAAATTCTGTAAAAGAAACAAAAACACACACACAAACACAATTCGTTCGTGATTTTTCATGGATATTGTTTTAACAAAGCATATTGCCTCTCACCTCTTGAATTGTTTTAAATTTTTCAGCTTTGTAACGGTTTATCAATGCGAGGGTGGTTGGTCTTAAATGTTGCAAAAATGCCCTTGTTAAGATACATGGTCCTGGATCGACTTCAAAAAATGGCACATTTGTAATATAATGGGGTTGAATTGCTTTTGCAATTATTTGTGCCGTTTCATCACTGGCCACATAAAGAAATTTGCTTTTCGAACATGATGTTCTCATTTCACGTGGAAACAGTTTCAAATTTGACTGCTGACCCGTGCTTGTGAAATGTTTTAAAATTTGTTTCGACCAAGTGCAACCAAAATTCTTTGCCATTTCTAAATTTCTTCCGTACACTTAATAGAGATCTTTTCTATATTTTTCTAATACAATATATGCTGAATTACATAAATATATTTCACAAATTACCGACTGATTACTACATTATATTTATAACCTGCTCGGTATGTCAAATGTCAAAATGTGCTTCATTATGGTAAGTTATCATTTCTCACCAATTCAGTCTCAATTTCAATCAAAATGGTTCGATACAAAATTCAGACAAACAAAATTTGCAAAAAGAAAAACAATTCTTATCAATTTCTGTAGTATATTAATGTATTTTAAATTATTTTTTTTGTCAGTTTGTAAATATGCCTTCATCAATATTTGAAACGTCAAATATTTTGACAATCATATAGAAATATGTGTGTGTAGCTGTGTAGTACATACATGTGGTTTATGTCAAATAACATTTTCTATGTGAATATTGGTTTAATTCTCTGATGTGGCCTTTTCGTATCGTCACTGCAAATGAAACGCATTAATTGTGAAATATACACATAAATACCGCAATATTTGTATTTTCTGATTCATTTTGCGTTACGTCTTTGTTAAAAAAATTGAACATCACCTCTTCAGTTTAATCGTGAAATTCAGTGATACAGATTCAGCTACTTATTCGACTCGATCTCCACAATCGCCATAACAATATACATAAAGTAATTTATTTTGTCAATACGATCAAAAATTCAATTTTTGTTTTTATATAAATTAGGTTAGTTATCAAGTCATTTCTTTGATACTAAATATAAACACAGCTTCCCGTAAAACAACAACAAAATTAATACACTTTGTATGTGTGCATGATTGAATATTTCGATTTTTATCTTTCTTTCACTCTCTCTTTTCAGTTTAGGAAACTATACAGTCCGATAAAATGAGTTTGGTTTGGACAATAATCGCTACATTTTTGTACGTTGAAATAGCCGTTGTGCTTCTGTTGGTATTGCCAATAGCATCGCCTCAACGATGGAATCGATTCTTCAAATCACAGTTTCTGGCAATGATAAGTCGACAGGCGAACATATATTTCGTCTTATTGTTTGGCATTTTGGTGCTGTTCCTGTTGGAAGCCATCCGTGAGATGCGCAAATATTCACATCACGGTTTGTATAAATGACATTTCAACACATTACCAATCATACCATCATTATTATTTAATTTGTGTTCTCAAAATGATAGAAAACACCACTAGCGAGCACTTGAATGTTGAATTACAGCATAGCATGCGGTTGTTCCGTGCTCAACGTAACTTTTATATTTCGGGCTTTTCAATTTTTTTGACATTGGTCATTCGTCGTTTGGTCATTTTGATTTCGTCACAAGCCCAATTGTTGGCACAATCGGAGGCATCGATGCGACAAGCACAAAGTGCAACATCAGCCGCTCGTAGCTTATTGTCACAACAAAAAACCGACGATAAATCGACTGACACCAAGAAAGGTGATTCAAAACCTGATGAATTGGTAAGTTAAACGACAATTTAAAAACATTTACGTTTCTACTGTCCCCATAATTATGATGGCTTTACAATTTAAATTTAACAAAAATTATACTCTCTTGCCCCCGAAGTTTTGCTTGCGATTAACTGTGTATCCTGAATCGTTTTATTTATTCACACCAATTTTTCCTCACCAGAAAATTCGATAAAATTCCTATCGATTGCATGACTTTGGTACAATGGGTCTGTATTGTGAATGCAATGCATTATCCAAATCTAATATAAAAATGTTCATGTCGTTGTGCATTCGAGAATTTTTTTATTGGCATACATTTCTGTTATTGTTATTTTCGTTTAAATAATTTCATTGTTTTAGCGAGCAAAATTTCGATGGACAATTTTTTAATACAATTTTTATTAACGAAAATTAGTTTTGGTTAAAGATTGGCGAATTGAAGCAGAAAATCGCAGACTTGAACAAAGAATTAGAACATGAACGAAAAGACAAAGAAGCATTGAAATCACAAGCAACTGGTTTGGAAAAGGAATACGATCGTCTCACTGAAGAATACAGCAAACTTGAACGCCGAGTGACCGTGTCGGGTGGCGGCAAAGATGATTAAATAAAATCGATCATTTTTTTTTTTCGTTTTAAAATTCCTCTCAGTAAACATAAATAATATTAACTTCCTTTGCTTTTAAAAGCGCTGATTATAAACAATGATTAGGAAAAAATTAAGCTCATTGGTCGATTATTTTATATAAAGATTTTTTTTTCTCGTTGTATTGAGACGACATTCATTTCAAGGCTTTGGTTAATATTAAAAATGAAATTGTCACCCCAAATAATAATTAATTAAACGTTTATAAAAATAAAATTAAAAAAAAAGTTTTTTTTGTGTTTTATTTCACACATATAGAAGTATAAATTGAAATCATGAATAATTAAAACGATTTATTCAAAACAATGTACAATTCTGCATTGAACAGTAATCTAAAAGCATGACATGACATCATTTGACCAGTGAACAATTTTGGTGTTGGCACAGTAGCATTTGTTTACATTTTTGCCGCATACATTTGCGTGACATTTGTGATTTTGACACTTCTAATACATCGCAGTTTACCAATATCAGTAGTAGTTTATCAACATTTTACGAACACGCATCCAACAAAAAACGAAATCAATAAAAAAAAAAGTTCATTTCATCATGAATCGTGGACGATTTCGTAATAATCGAAGCAATCAGCATCGAAATGACAAAAAAATTGATTCGGGCGATGAGAAAAATCCGGTTGTTCGAAGTTTCATGAATTATGCCGAAGAATTAAATGACAAACATGATAGATATGAGCGTATTGTTAAATATAGTCGCGATTGTACGATTGAAAGTAAGCGTTTGATATTTTTGTTGCACACCGTGGACCTGCGTAAGCCGAGCTCCAAAAAAATCCTATCGGACGCATTTAATCGTTTGACCGCTCTTTGTACGAGCAGCTTTGCTAGCATTGCAAAAGAATTGGAAAATCGTGATCCATATCAATATGGTCGCGCTTATTCTGCTGGACTTCAAGAATTCGTTGAAGCATTTACATACTACGATTATTTATTCAACGATCACATCATGAACTGGGACGATTTGCAACAGAAACTTACGTACACAAAGCAGCCGGAAAATGTCGATCCAGAAACAGCTACCAGCACCGATATTATCGTCGAAGACACTCCAAATGAAGCACCATTGAAAATAAAATGTTTTGTGCAACCGATTGAATTCATGCTGGGTTTGGCCGATTTAAGCGGTGAAATTATGCGAAAATGCATAAATTCGCTTGGATGTGGTGACATCGAGACGTGTCGCAAAGCGTGCAATTTTGTACAACATCTTTACTCAGGGTAAGCATCATTTTTTCAATCAATTAAAAGTCATCACTAAGTGTTATGTTCTTCATCAAGATACCTGAGTTTGGGCTCAATGCGTCACAAGGAAATGTCACGAAAGGTACATGCAATGTACCAAAGTGTGCTCAAGGTCGAAAAAGTTTGCTACAACATACAAGTTCGCGGTTCGGAAGCGGCCATTTGGAGCTCAAACGATGCCATCGAAAAAGATCGCGACGAAGAGGATGAGGGATTTGCCAACTATTAAAATCAATACACATCTACGGCACATTTCTTCTTTATTTTATACTTTCATTTATATTATTTAATGGGATAAAAAATAAAAATTCATTTTTTCCACATTCTAAATTAACCAACTATTTGTTTCATTCTTGTTAAGTTGTTTTTGTTTTATCCATAAAATGACTTATTTTTAATCTAATCTCTTTCGGATTCTGATGAATCTTGGTAATCAGTGTCTCGGTCGTCGTCAGTTGCATATGGATCTTCTTCGCTTTCATCTGTATCGTGAGCATTGTCATCGGTTGCCGTATTGGTCGTTGTGTTTGTTGCCATTGGTGGATTAACTGTTGCTTCATAGCCCTCTTTTCCTTTTGGTCCTGTTAAATGATGTTATTTTTTGATAAAACATTTTGATAAAACTATTTTGCGAAGCAAAAACAAAATCGATGAAAATTATCAAAAAATATACTAACGCGTAACTTTGTGAGAAAACTGTTGAAAATGTCGTGGATTTCGTCGATAACAGCGATCGAGAAAGGGGCATGGTGGAGCACCAAGTGGTGGATCTGGATATTCTGGCAATCTGTAGTCAAGATCACCTGGATGTGACTCATCAGCTCGATGCAATGGATTTCGTCTGTAATAAGAAATAATAAATAATAAATGGACATTAACATGAATAGTCCGATTATTGATTTGTTTATGTATATCTTACCGATAGCAACGGATGCCATAACGACAGCATGGACGACGTTGTTCTCGCTGATTACCACTTGCCACATTATTATCGTTGTCGATTGGTTCATCTTTTACTTCGGTTTTTATTTCAAAAGGAATGGGAGCGAAAGTGGACGAATCAGCGCATGCCTCTTGGCTCATTGGTTCCGTTTTTATTCTTATGACAGGCTGTGATTGTCCTTCAGTCGAATCTGAAGGTTCAATTTTTATCGGTTGATTTGCATTTGTTTCATCATTATTCACATTTGGTGAAATGTGCATTGATGATGATGAAGATGATGCATCACTTGTTGAAGGCATTTGCGTGGTGTCATCGATTGGATGTGTTGTGTTTGGATCACCATTCTCTTGGTATTCATTTGGTTCTGTTTTTACTCGTTTGTTCGTTGAATCTGGTTCTGAATCAACGCTTGTCTTACGCTTTGGCACACTTGTCGTCGGTGCGTCTTCATTTTGTTGTGCCACATTTCCATTCAAACAAGCGACACCATTGTTTACATTATCTAATGGTTGGATCGAAAACCAAAATTCGTCGACCAACAAACCGAATGAGTCACCAACAAACAAATTCACTTCTGTGTTTTGCCCAATTTGATTTACTTCGACATTGTTTTTCTTTCGAAAAAACATCAAATTCTGATGTGTCTGAAAATGAAATTGCGCATGAAAATTGAAAAATTGGAGCCAATAGAATTTTATGGTTGTTCTATGAAAAAAGAATAAAAATTATGAAATTTTCTCACCGAAAGAACTTTAACCGAATTTGGGGAGATAACTTTGAGAAGTCCGTGATACCGCGAAATTCTTTTGTCATTGCACTAAAAATAAATGAAAACATTTCAGCATTGTTATCATGTTTGGGAAAGTTCGTTGTCTGTATTAATCATCGAAGACTTACATTTAACCAACCTCGACCGATAACCGATTCCGATGAATTTAAACAATGTTTTTCATTGTTTTGCACATTTACTAGCAACATTGTGGGCGCAATACTCATTTTTCCTTTGTCAAATGTAAAGTTTTTTCTTTTATTTGAAAATGGCGCAAATGTTATTATTTACACTTCAAAATGAGCATCCATTCGAAGCGCAATAGCACTGAAATACAAAAAGCACTCTTGAAATTTGACAGCTACATTCGAATACACAAACAAATAATTTCCGGTAATTTTCTTTACATTCGAAAATAATGGAATTTTTTGAACGAAGAAAATGGTAAATCTTTTAGAAATTCAATGGAATCTATATCCGTAATTTCACCATCGTTGATAATGCTCAAGCAGACATTTAATTTGTTTTATTCTGTTCTGTTCTGTGCGGTTTAATTTAATGTCAAAATATATTTGTGACTGAACGAAGCCTCCACCATCTGTCGGTAAAAAACGCTACTAATTCAATCTCTCCCACATTCTCTCGTACTATCATTTGCAAATTTTAAAATATCCACTACATTTTCGACAACAATTTTATTACTTTTCCATTTGTATACCTTTGCTTTGACTTCAGTGCTAATTTCGTAGTCAAGAAGAAATGCGTTTGTTTAGAAATGTAACCATCGAGTTTAAAGCGAATGCGAGCCGCGAATATGCATAATCGTTTGATAGACACCAAAATAATCATGCTGATTATAAATGTTTGTCCCAAAATAATCATTAAAGTAAATTTATGGCGACATCTACGAAAGCTAGTACTTTGACTGCATTCGATCAGTGCATACTATTGGTGTAGCATACCACAGTGCACATTACTCGAATCACATTCGCAATAAACACTTTGACTAGTTAAAACGTTCTTTGTCAGCATTTTGTATTGTACCATTTGAGTGTTCGTCTTTTTTATCATTCGATATAAGTTTAATACTACAAGTTCGAAAAAAGTAAATTTGATTTTTGGTGGCAAAATAGAAGTTTTTAACGTTTTTAATTGTTAAAGTCACTACCAATCAAATACCAATCATTTTTCTCATATAATTTTCCTCCGCAAAAAAAAAACATGAATAAAATGTCGCTGTACAGACGGCTACATACACCGAACTCACCGTTGGTACCGTTATCACCGATGATGCCGATGCCATCGCCAAGCATGTATCTAACGCCATATACAACATCGATTCGAAGTCGTCGTTCGTTCACACCAACGCAATTGAATATGTTGTCACCGCCAAGTGTATCACCAATTCGGGCTGCATTGTCAGTAAAAAATACGAATTTTGATCAAAATGAAGGGAACACAACACCCCAACAGAAATTGAATTGCAGTTTGGTTTTTTCGTCAACAAAAAAATCGATGAAAAAAATTCGATCAGCAGCTAGGTTCGTATAGGTTTTGTTCGATAATTTCAACTGCAAATACGTCATGATTAATTGCATTTTTTTTAAACCGAAAATCTTCTCATTTACTCTTCAATCGCATTAACAGAATAAGCCGCAAAATCGAAGCACGAAATAATCGTTCTAAGGTACCGTTAACGCCGATTTGTCGTTCGTTGCATTTCGAAGGAAGTCCATCGTTTGAGGGGCATGATTCACCAAAGGCGTCCGGATCACAATTAAAGGTTATACCATATTTTGAACAAAGTACAACACCAAAACCATTCCTCACATCGTCTGACCTGATAGCAGTCACACAAGAAATTACATCACCATTTGTGTATAATGAACATGGTATCACACACAGTTTACTTGAAGAAACGTTCACCGTTACAAGCATTCTTAAGGAAATCAATATGCAAAAATATGCCGTACTATTTGCCAAAGAAGAAATTGATTTGTTTGTGTTTTTACTATTGACGTCAGATGATATGGTTGTTCTTGGCATCGACCCAGACGATCGAGATATACTCTTGAACGCCGTTTGCTGTTACAGGGAATTCTTTGGCAATCCAGAGAAAATGTACTTTTAGTCTCCAAGGTGATCAAATGAATTTTGAAGGACATTTTCTTTGAAATGCGTTGACGCAATATTTCGTTAAACGATTACATCAAATTTGTGATTTTTTATTATTTAATTCGATTTGTTTGCTTTATACTGATCTCGTTGTTAATACGATTGTCATTTAAGAATTTTATTGCTAAAAATTGTGTTCATTGTAATACAAAAATACAACGATACAGTTTCGGTTATAGCAATAAAATTTAAAAATTGCACATAACACCTAAATATTAAATAATAAATTTGTCCGCGATAACACGATTATATTTTTTTATATTTTTTATATCTACAACCACTTAAATTGGATTTAAATAAATTTTGGAAATTTTTACGAAAACAAATTTTGAACGTTTTTTTTCCTCTCTGGCCAAAGTCCGAAACATATTATCAATTTTTCAAAACAGAAGCAACCTAAAGATCCGATTTTCATTCATCTCAGCGTTCATATCTTTGGTTCAGATAATGAAATATGATGGTATTTCGATTGATTAGACATTTGGGTTTTTTTGTACGATCTATTCATATGAAAACATATGATCACCATCAGTGACCATGGACATTTGAGACATTATAAACGCCGGCAAATGCTCACTGGTGTGCTATCATTTTTTTGGGAGATTCAAAACAATATTTTTGTACAACTAAAATAGACTTCGATTCTGTTTTGCAAGAAACTGAATAAGAATACCTCTTCGAGTAGAAGTAGTGTTTCATTCATTGCATAGCAATTAAATTACCGAAAGAATTTTTATTTCAAATAATTAAAAAAAACAACAGATTTTAAGAGCGAAAAAGTGTCTATTCCACAAATAAGAAATTTTATTCAAATTTTCTTTAAAATTCCAAATAAAAAACGCATTAATATGGACATGGTCTATTCCAAATTCTTGACTACGACTTAAAATTAATGCAGGCCCATTCAATTGGTATTGGAATAAATCCTCTTAGCGAATGAAGTAAAGGTCGCTGTGTGAATGGTATGTGCCATTGTCCGGTTTCCGTTGATTTATTGGCGTTGCAAATGAATTTCTTCGGCGCATTTATGTGAACCAAATCTGTCTTGGGATCATATGTGACAAAATGTTGATGTTGTATTTGCCAATTTCTAAATAGTATTTTGCCATTCTCACTAAATTCCATCCAATATTCATCAAGAAAATCGTTTGTAACGAAATGTGCTTTTGATCCGGATACGAATATTGCATACATCATAAATAAATCATCGATGGCTTCATTGTGTTTTGTTAGATAAACGGTGGCATTTCTTCGAATTAAATTGATTGATGATTCTGGAATCTTTTCCACATGTTTTTTCCCAATAACAATCACACGTTTATTGTTCGATCTTAATTGTTTAACGATTTTGGCTAGTATTTCACCTTGTTTAACTAAGTTTCCTTTGAAATCTGGAAATATTCTCGTGACGTTCAGTGAATCAATGGCATAATCAAAGATTTTTTTCTTGTTAACAATTTGCCGGAAAAATGCCAATTCAATGGATGGAATCTTCGGTTTGAGAACTTTTTCGAATTCCCGCTTCAATGTGTTGAACTCAAGTTGTGATTGTTGCAATGGTGGCATTTGATAGTTACAACTAGAACACTGGCCTATTTTATCCATTTTTGATGGACTACATATACCGCCGAAATGTTGAATTTTATTGCTTAAATCTTCAATCACATTTTTCGATACGATTACATTATTTTTATTGATGAATTCAAACATTTGTTCGACATTTGCCGCAAACGTTTCTTGATGTAATGCACAATAATGCCAATAGGCTGAAAATGATTCACAATTTGGTTGAAAGTTTTTTTGGCTCATTTTGTGCAATAGTTCCCAGCCCAATGCATGATCAGATTCCAAAAATGCATTCACCGCAATATTGTTGAATATATTTATTGAAGATTTTGTACATGGTATTCGATTGTCGTTAATTATATTCACAACTTTTCGCCAATCTTTACATTTTGATAGCCATTCCAAATTGGTTGGAATGTTGTTACCAACGGTTGATTGTTTCTTTTGTGGTTTTGACAATTTATTTACTGTGTATTGTCTTATAGATGACCATTTGCCTAAGTTAATGCACACTTTTGAACTAAAACTAAGCGAAAACATTTTGTATAAACTACAAATTCAGCCGGCTGGCTCACAGCAACAAATGATGACTTTATTATTGATTCACACACATGTGTTTCTCAATCTAAAATGTCAAAACAAACGAAACATTTAGATTGGATTTGGTTCAAGCCCCATCTGTTTGTCCAAATCAAAACTACGTTTCTATAATGAATCTTGTGTATGTAATGGAAAGTTATCGTTTTCAGTATTAATAATACCATTATTTTATTGAATAATTATGTTATTAATGACAATTGTTTTTTAAAAACAATTTGCGTGACAACGCTACCAACTGAACCACCAAATTTAAACGTTGGCGTTGGTATTGTTTTGTACAATTCAAATTTCCCATTCAAGCTTGTGCATAATTCAGATTCGGTCCAATTACAGGAGGAAAGTATCAACAGTCCATTGTTTGATGTTAAATTATGGAGATTTTGAATGTACGCAGCACGTTTTTCGGCCGGATTCTCAGGATGTATACTGATCGCATCATATGTGCCTTTATCGTGTACAATGTCAAATTGTTTGTTGCCGAATTTCTCTGTTATCTGCGTTGCATTTAACAAATCCAATACTTCATAGGTTATCTGCATATCTTGATCGGCAGCTATTTGTTTGGCCAATTCAATGGCATTCTCCGAATAATCAACACCGCTTAAATTCTTGTATCCCTCACGGTATAGTTCAACTAACATCATGCCATTGCCACATCCTAAAGAAATTTAAAATGAATTTATTAAAATGAAAATGATATTTTAATTAATATTGAACAACATACCCAAATCGATAATTTGATTGTCTTCGGGAATGTCGTTTTTCAACATCCAGTTAATCACACGAATTTGACTGTCTTCATCAAACCAAACCTCACCAACATCACCATGGGATTTATAATTCTCAATTTCTGTGTCATAACTTTTATCCCAATAGTCTTTTGTGCCTAATTCCGAGCCCTCCAGCTCCTCTATTTGATTGCCTGACATATTTTTTTTTTCGTTTGATATTTATGTGTTTTCAATTTCTCTTGATTTTTATGTTTTGATTTGTTCACAATAACAATATTAAAACCGCATTTTTCGAAGCAATTTGACACATGTCATCGACTTATTTTCACATATATTTGTGTGAGACAGTCTTTGAGCGGCATCTCAAAGCATCAAAATGCCAGCGATAAACACATTTCATATTTTATCATTTCGACATTTATATTGAATTTTCTTTAATAAAACTGTATTAAAATTATGCACATTTTATGTAGATACATTTTTTTTTACTTTATAAGCCAATCAAGATAAATAACATTGCAATAGATGGCGCCACTCACGTTTTCTGCTGCTTGACATTACACAAAGCATCATTTAGTTTATGTTTTCTTTTGGTGTTGATTGCATATTTGCACTGTTTACGAGTTAAAATATAAATAATAATGGCCCAACCACGTAATATCCCACAATCCAAAGAGGTTCTCTTGAAATCGTATAACATTCGTTTGAAAGAAGACTGTAAAATTATGTTGGAAAACTATTTTGGTATGTATCTATGCACTGATTAATCGCTTACAGGCTGAATCGATGCCGGGAAAAGACAATATATCTTTTATTTAATTCGTGTTATTCATTTATCATGTATAGAAATCATCAAATTGGCCAAAGGAGAAAGTGACTCACAACTTTCTAAGGTCACCCAATGTGAACAGGATACGTACGAGATGCAAGTACGGGCAGCAACCATAGGTAAACATCGAGTGAAATCCATATTATTCACTAAACGAAATACAATCATGTACGCTAATTGTTTAATTCGAATCATTGTTTTTCAGTCCGGGCCGGTGAATCGTTGATGAAACTTGTATCCGATATCAAACAATATTTGATTCTGAACGACTTCCATTCGGTAAACGACGCAATCACAGCCAATTCGCAGCTATTTCGTTCGACACAGTCAGAATGTGACAAGAAGCTGATGAATTTACGTGAGGCAGCCGCCATCGATTTGTATGACTTAGAAGAAGAATATTATACTAGTGAATTTAAATGAACATATTAAAAGAAATGAATCTCATTGTAAATAGCTTAATATCAATAAGAACTGGCGAAAAATGAATGCAAGAGTTTGCTCTTAATAAACATAATTCAATTTTCACACTCTTTTCGCTTTTGATTGCTGAAACATTTATGTACCAAAGAAAACTAGTAAGTAGTTTTAAGATACAGTCAATTTGCAGCCTTTACTTGAAGTAACGAATATTTGTATAATACAAAAAATATATCTAAAGAAAATTCATATCCGTAAGTATTAATTAATTTGAAAAGAAAATTTAGTCGATTATTGACCAAAGTTTTTTTAAAGGAAATGTTAGGTATTTTATTTATATCTGGAGGAAAAGATAGTAGCTCTTAGCACGTGTTACTACTTTATACTTATTGTAAATACAATGTGTGTTCAGTGGATTTAAAGTTTTTTCGATTTACATTTTGTGTCGAAATATTTTTTTTACATTTTTCAATACATTTTCATTGGTTACGAACGAACAATCCGAATATTTCACTTTCTACGAACGAACGGACAAAAACAACAACAACAAATATGCTACGAACTTTTCGTTGGCAGCTTTGGTTCAAACATACATTTGAATATGAATCCGACGTTAGTTTTGCGATACAAATATATTTATAATTATAATTTTCAGACAAAAAATATTATTGAAATATTAGTTAGTACGTAATTATATTCACAAAGTTTATTTAATTCACTAAAAAATAATATTCTGAAAGTTAAAAGAAATTTTTGGCCTAAAATCGAAAATTTTGTGGGGAGAACCATTTTTTAACTCACATTTCTTTAAATTTGGTAAAATTATGTATTTTGGTAAGAAAACATACATTTATTGCATTTTGTTTAAAACTCGTGAATCTTATTTTCTTACCAAAATACATTATCTCACCAAATTTAAAGAAGTTTCAATCAAAAATGAGGCTAACCTCCATTCAACATTTTCGGATGTATGTCCGGTCATACGAAATTCCAAACTTGCGACCAGGTAAAAAAAAATGTACCAAAAATGTACTTAATTCCATCATTTTTTGTTGTCTTTGTTTAGACGCTGATCTTTGTAGTGAATGCTCTTCACTTCTGGAGGTTATTTTCTACCGAAAAAAATAAGGCACGCCAAATTTCAAGAAATTTTCGCTTTCACAAAATTGACACATTTTTCAAAAAAAAAAAAAAAATTCTACAGATATTGACATTTTTGTATTTGAGCCATACTTATTTTATATCCGATCGTCTTGAAAATTTCAGGAAGTAAGAAGTGAAGTTAATATCTCTTGTTTCTTTGTGTGTTAATTTTATATTTTCGCTTTAATGTCTAATTCAAAGAGATTATTTCGTGTGCATATAAAGATTATGAATAGTATTCGAGTGAGTGAGCATAAAAGGATGTGTCTGAAGAAGGTATATGTATTGCAATTTGTTTGCAAGATGTTTTGCCAGTCATAGTTTTTCCCGTTTGAAATGCTTCCTTTTTACTTTTTGTGCATCATTTATCTTTATATTTCATTTATATATATCCGTTTAGATAGAAAAGATAACATACGGGTATCATCGAAGACCCAAGGAACTCCAGCATTTTTTTGGTATAAGAATATTCGTGGTGAATGTGTGATAAAGAAACTGTTAAGTGGAGAATATACTTTAATAAATGATTCCGGTGTTAAAAAACACATGCATGTTACAGCGTATAAAGACTATTTTTTTTATAGAAACGCGATGAGCAGCCAATATTTGTGGTTTAATTTGTGCATTCAAATTAGAATAAAAAAAATCAACACTCAGCCAAACGAAAAGAGAAAAAAGAGCCAAACTGGCGAATGGATTAAGCGAAACGTGTGCCAATTAGATTTTCTTGTGATGCTTTTATCCTTTTGTTGATTATCATATAGCTAAAAACGCTTTTGGAGCACAATCATTTATCGAAGTGTTATTAATTAGTTAATAAAAGCATAACAAACATATTTTGAAACAGAGAGAATTCAAGTGTATGCATATTCATCTATTTAGATTTCCGTGAACAACCTAATCGATGTTCGGCATATGTGATCGTATGAGGGTCTGTGTTTTATGTATGTGTTTTTGTCACAATTTTAAATGTTCTCATCACTCTATAGTTTTCCGAATGTAACAGTCCTGATTTTCAGTTGGCGTTGTTAATTTTTCTGTCATTTCTTTTACTCGTAATATCGATGTTCCTGTAGTTCGCATCAAGGGAAAATATTTCGTCATATAAGCATGATGCTAAATGTACGCATAGCAACTATTTTACCATTATGTTGTGCACAAACTGGATCTCAAATGGGATATGTGTTAATCGTTAGAAACAATTTATTTTAACGAAACCGTTTTGCCACAAACCTTTTTGAGAATGTTTACAGTTCAATGAATACCTAAACAAATTAGGTGACAATATGTGAGTGGCTGAATGATATGGGAACGAGAGATTTAAACGTTTTATCAACGACCACCACCCTCCGTCCTTTGCTGCCGTTTATCTTACCGTCCCGTAACGTTACTCACTCGATCGAACGTATGTGAACGTGTTTGATTTATTCGATCCCCACTCTCATATTCTCGCCTATCGCCTTTGATGCTACCAATATATAAAATGCCACTTGATAGTATTAACATTCGAGAATAGGGTACGTAAATACAGTTGATGGAACGCGATGGTTTAGTCGATGATATGCTCAAAGCATAAACCATTCGACAGAGAATAAAAAACATTCTTGAAATGAACGAGTGGTGAACTTCCGATAGTCAGGTCTATATTCACTTCAATATAATATTGACACCTGGAACAACAAGGAAAAAAGGGGCATGTTTAAAAGAAGAAAAAACCTTCTTCTCCACCGTTAATACGTGTGTAAATGAACGAACTAACGCCATTTGTTGAATTCCTTTTCATAATCACACAATTGTCTTTATCAATTAATTAGCGAAACTCTTTTTCTAGTTACTAGCATTAATTCAGATACTACTCAGAGTGTTACCATACATGCTTCAAGTGAAAAAGAATCTATTGGTTACTTTATTATCATATCGGTTAGATAATTCTTTTTAATCATTGAGTTATTCCTTGAATAAACCCCCACTGTTATTAACCCTTACTAATAAGTTGTCACCGTATAAACAGTGGTCGTTCCCTTGCAGACACGTAACAAAATCTTCCTATTTCTGTGTTACTCTTTACCCATTTCCTTTCAATTAACCCTATTTTTAATAACTCAAATATTTATCAAACGGAGCTTCACCGCGGGATATTCAAAAAGTCTATTGGACCGTATCTAATACTATGTTGAACAATGAAATTGAAATTTTTTGTCCGTAGCTAATAAAAACAAGTAAAATGCATGTTTAAAATTCAGGTTATCATGCTATTATACTGTGCACAGTGCAACCGAGAAAGAGATAAAATAATCAGGATAAGCGAATGGGGTAAATGACCTTATCAAATGGATAATGGTTAAAATAAAATCAAAATTTTTCACATTTGTCAACATTGATAAAATTGCGAATATTGCTCGAGATACAAGGTGTTAAAATCAATAGAATGCAAATAAATCATTGGATTTTAAGGCGATGTCACATAATTTGTGCAATAGTAATAACAATCTTGATGGTATTAATTGAAAATTATTTTCAACCAAAAGCACATTAAATGCAAATGACAACAAATCGTCGGTTGCTATTGTCGTCATCAATAGATAATCCAATATAAATTTTGACCCAAATAGAATTGGTTTAAAAAAAACTATTAGCAAGTTGGTAATTTTATTATTTCAAAGAGAGAACAAAGAAATCTTTGGCAACCGGAAATTCTAACCGCCATGAGTCGCAAGCGTAAAACAAATGTGCAATAAACATAAAGTGGAGCGAACACTTTGAGATAATTTTTTTGTTCTTTCAATTTTAAGTGTCTGCTGTTATGACGTGCAATGATGTTTTATTATTATTTTGTGCAGCAATTTCAGTTTGAGATTCAATCAATTATGAAAATTGCCATCCTTTTTGATGATGATGATGATGATGATGTATCATTGACGATCGATTTTCATTCTGCCAATGTGCTAAAATGTATATTTTGAATGCTTGACAGTGCACTATGATTTTCGGTTCGCAATAAATGACTTTGATTGTCTTCCATCCGAAGCTCATTAAACATTAAATTATAGAAAATAATGCACAGTAAATTGAATACATTTTCTCGCATATGAGAACGAAAAGGGGACAAAGCAAAATATGCTTGGAATTTGAAATCTGAATATCGGACTGGTTCTAATGCTGGATAGGCACTTCCATGCAGTACTGTTGGTGATGTTCGCACGTGTGTGTGTGAGTTAAATTAACTTCAGTTACATCGACCAAACGACATACGTATCTCGTATAGCACATGGGTACAATGCATAGAACTTTTTAATAGATTGTGACAGTAAATTCAATTATATCGCAAATAATTCGATTAACAAATTGCATTAGTTTGGCATAAATGCTACAGATTCGAGAAAATTACTTTGTTCATTTATTCTCTTTGATTAAATAATACGCACGCATAACACAAATATTGCGTCTGATAACACACATTTGCCATAAGAACATCCACACATAGCATTTTGCTTTTGTATGTGCCAGTAGTGTTGAAGTTGCAAGAGAGAGAGAGAGAGAGAGAGAGAGAGAGAGAGAGAGAGAGAGAGAGAGAGAGAGAGAGAGAGAGAGTAAGAAAGAGGGATAAGGAAAGGAAAAAAGCAAAGCACAGCAACGATGGATGCGACTAATATACATATATGATTGCGTTTTCAATCTCATTTAATATTACAACATGCATACTATCGTTCAGAATGAATTATTTTCTCTTGTTCCCTTTTGTGTATATTTTTATTGACAAGACGACGCAAGAGCCAGGAAAGAGTGATCAAATGAGTGAAAAAGTTTGTGCGTACGTAACGTATATGTATGGGTGTGAAAGGAATAAAAAAAAACAGATATAAAGAAAGACAGCGGCAAATGGGAAAGCTATTCACACTTTGGATAGATCAGGGCACATTTTAGAA